CATTTTTTACATACATGACAAAAACCTAAATGAAATTCTGGTGCAAATTCTGGTGTCACCTGCCTATATATAAACATCACCACACATATACGAGGAAAAAACACAACTTTCGACACAAGACAGTTTTTTTACATCTACAACTAAATGTATCCTTTACTGTATAATTTGCAAAAAATACAATAGTTTATACACTGGACAAACAGGCCGCCAACCTGGTGATCGAGCATAAGAACATTTAAACCATATTAAACTATGGACGGGATACGTCTATAGGCAAACATTTCACCATCAACATCTATACAGTTGAAGACTTTTCGATTCTCGGACTTATTAGTGCTTCGACAGACATTCACAAAAGAGAACGACCAGAAAGAAGACCAGTCTACAATCCGGGGACCCTACAACCATTTGGTTTAAATGAACGCTTTTCTTTCCTATAGATTTTCCTTTTTTGTTTAAATTCTAATTGCAATATTTATTTATTTTATTGTCTCATTGATTAATTACAAAAAGCTTAACGAGTTATAAACTTACAATTACCTTTGTTAACAACTGAAAAATATGACTGGGTGTTTGTTAGAAATTATTTCTCCATAAACCGTACCGTTTAAAACTATTCTCTTCATTTAAACCACATTTTGTTTATATATATGTATATAATTAAGACTCGAAACACCAATTTTTATCGTTGAAATCAACAAAATAAACCGAAACAAAGTTTGTTTTGAATAAAACCAGATAATATGAAATATAATTATTAATTATTTAAATATATATTCATTACAGTAGCATAGTGTAAGAGCAAAAATGTTCTTTCGACAAATTAAGGTAATCAATTTTTATGAAGTCCGTTTTCAAATTCACTGTTATATTCAAAGGAAAATGTGGGTAAATATTCTACACAATCTGTCAGTTACCTCTAATTGCTCAGAACATCATTTTGAAATTATTTATCATATCTGATTTGTAACACAAAATAGGTATAATGCATTATCAATATAGCGGGTGTTTTTATGATATGTGCAGAACTTTCAAGATTCGAATGTAATTCTTATATGAAATGTGGAAACTTGTTAATTTATCACACTAGAATTAATGTATTATGTTCAACGTTATATATAAAAGCATACTACGCAAAAAATTCGAATTAGCACTGAGTATTGTCAATTTTGAATATTGTTTTTTAGTGTCAAGCATGAAAGAAGATTGTTAGACAAGCCTAATCTCCCATTTTGCCTATCAGCAATCTCTTTATCTTTGTAGGTTGGTAAGTTAGAACACTCGGTTACCGTGTAGATATTAATAGACCAGGCTTGATTTATCTTGACAATTGCCATTGTAGTTGATTCTGAATAACACTGATGAATTATCGAGAACATAACTGGCGAATTTACAGATGAATAATTTTATTAACTGTTTTCAATCTATGTTTGTTCCAGTTGTAAGCATATCATTCTCTAGTCAACTAACTTACGTGTAATGGAGAAATGGTACAAAGTTTAAAATCTCATACAACGAATAATATATGTCATTTAAGGTTATTATACCTTTGATTGCACATACCAAAAATTGATATATTTTTCAAAGACAAACAAACTTAATATATAAAATCTAATTAAGCTTTTATATCTGCAAGAAATGACTCATGTATGTATATTCGAAGAAAAGAGGAAAACATTTAAAAAAAAAGGTATTCCTTTCAGAATTTTAGTAACAAAGTAACCTCAAGATACCATTGTTTGTAAAATACACTATTGTTAATTACACATTTACAACCAACGACCGCAGTTGATTTTACTGAAAATACTAACCGGATTACATTAGGTTCAAGTAAAGATTTTCACGAGTGCTTCAGTTAGTTGCTGGTTACTCAACACTAGACTGTGTACGACTCTGGTATATGAGGGTTAAAGAGTTTTACTTGTTTTTATTCTATATGTTTTGTGTGAAAAATATCCCTCAATACCTTCAGAAGAACAATATTTTGGTTGAACACTATTTCTATAAGTATTGTTTTATTAACACTTGTGTATAATGTTAACATAATAAATAACACATAATGTTAAAATAGATAGACAATTAAAAATATTTTTAATTCAAGTCAATCTATGACCACAAAAACTTAATTATACATGTTTCGACGTTTCAACGTCATCATCAGGAGTGAAATTGCAAGACATAAGTGTCATATTTATACCTATTTAACTAGGTCATGTAACATGTTCTGCATAATTCTTAGAGGAGATCCAACCACATTCTTACACAGTTAATTGACGGACCTTCGTCTCTATTTAATAATAAACGATATTTTTTAAACTTTATTATTTTCCAAGATTCGCCGATATTATTGGTTCTAATTTGTGGAACCACCCTTCTTCTTCTTCACAAATACAATATGTTATGCCCATAAACTAGTACTCAGTTCAATCGTTCCTTGTTCCTTCGTGACTTCTATCTCTTTGAAAGCCTCAGACTGTTTTGTAAATGGGAGACGTCTGGCGAGCTGACGTAGTAGGACTGCATCTCAAGTATCAGCCTTGTGAGACATTTTACTTGTTTTGCCTTAGTCATGAGGTCTACTGGAGAAAATGTCTTGATATTCCATGAGCAAGTTATGTAACTGCCGACACTGATTAATTTTAAGACCTCCATGGCTCCGATAATACAACTATTGTAAGTGAGGTGATAAGCTCTCTTTATTTAAGGGTTTCACATTGGACTTCCTACATCTTTCTCCAAAGGTTACTACTTCGGGTGTTCTTTGAATGTATTACATTCACATCTTGCAATATTCTGCCCAGACTTAACTCGAATTTTATAATTTGTTGTGTTCATGGCCCTAATTATGATGTCTTTATTCTTCAGATCCACATAATTAAACCATTAATCCATCAGGACATGCTGGAGTGTTTGGTTCTATTACAGCCTAGTCATAAGGGGTAACTTTATTTTTAACAGGCTGTGATATGAGTATTCCACATCTTAGTAGTACAATGAGTGCTCTCATTGTTGTAACGAGTCAACCTCCTGTGTAGTAATGACCATACAGTTGACAGGAATTTTCTGGTCATGTACTGCAAAGCTATTTGCAGCTAGCCTAACCTTGCATACATACTTCTGCATGAAGTCTTTACCAAATATGCACTCTTCCTCAAAGTCAATTACCCACACATCATGAGGTGTAGAAACATCTCCTAAAGGAAGGGTAACTTCTAACTTTAATTTTGCTGAAACATTAAGTCCACTTGCAGTTCACATTACTTTCTTTCTTTCTTTCCTATCTTCATACTTGGAAGCAGTTCCAAACTTTCATTACCAAATCTGGTCAAACTATTGTGACTGCAGAACCTGTGTCGATCAACTTACTGCAAGGCTTCCTATCAATAGACCCGTGAACTCATGGACTGGTTTCTTTAAAAAATGAACTTTTTCAATTGGGACAGATGGAATATTCTCAGCTGAACTTTGCTCTCATAAGTACAACTAATTCATATTTCATCATGTCTGGTTATTCCTTTGTTTTCTTCCTTTGGTCTGGTTGGGCCCGAAGATATCCTTGGAGTATTTTCTCCTTGATATCTTATCAATAGTTGTTAAGATATCCAAAATAAAATACTTCATGGATGTCTTGGCTACAATGGCCAGTTTTCCCACATTTATAACATTTCCGTCTTTCTAGTATAATTTTTTTAGGATTTCTTATTCACTACAAGCTTTAGTCTACAATCCATGGCAATATGCCCTTTAAAGTTACACTTGAAACACATAGTACCTTATTTATTTCAACCATTTTGTGTAATTAAATGTTTATCTAATCCTTTTACTTTTCTAAAATATCACCAGCAGCAGTTGATGATTGAGTATTGCTTAATCTGACAGTCTAATAACTTTGAAATGGTATCTTTAGTTTATTCACAACCTTAATGGATTATAATTCTATCGCCAACTGCAGAACTTTTTAAGGATGTACACTTGCTTTGCTTAAGCATAATTTTCACATCTTCTGTTATGGTGTCTATTACTTTGCCACATGCCAACAAAACTGTCGTAACTTTACAAGTAACTTTAACATGGTTAAAATAAATATACTTATTTGTACAAAGTAATTCGATAAGCGCGATAGCAAACACAAAATCTTCGTGTAATTAAACTGGCTGGTTCAAATCTCTATCTTGAAAACTATATTTCCTTGATTATCTTTCAACTTACTCTACTCTTGAAACAACTCTGCACACTTCACATCTTGCATTTATAATCTGGTTTCGAATATACGAGAAAACTTTATATCACATCCTTAGAACTTTCTTGGTGTTCTAGACTTACTAAAAATTCTTATATGAGCGTTATCAATAACTCGCAGTTCCCTCTGGCCACCGACATTAAAAATATAGTTTACAACGATATTCTAATTAATCTGTAAAAAGAAAGAAAGAAAAATAGGGAGAATTTCTTATACATTTTAAGCCAAATTAGGAAATTTGCACGAAATGTAAATGCCCTTGAATTTTGTCTGAAAGGATCAGTTACGTGCATGGACCTTCGAGGTTTATTAGAAGTATGTGATTTGTGTGCTGAAATTATAGAGAAATATAAGATAACAATATGCAGATTCTGAACAGGTTTTGTGCATAATTACGGTAATGCTATCTGTTGGTGATTTTTGAATTTCTCTAAGTATTCAGCAATTTAACACAGCTGTTTTTTGTAATTATCTATATATTAAACATCGCTTCAAAAAACAATTTTTAACAAATGTGCATATATTTTTTCTTTTGAGTATTGAATACAAAATAAGTAAACAAGAAAATACAGTCTCGCTTAACCCAACTTCTGTTAATTATTTATTTATTACATGTAATTTCTATGATTTCAAAGGATGAAATTCAAAATTACTGTACATACAAATAGTTTTTGAATATCATGATTAAAGAACTAATATCCAAGAGAGTAAAAACAATTATCATAGGTTCACATCTACTAAAACAAACATCCTAAAAAGATGAAATCGGTGAAATCTCATTTATTTCTACAAAGTGACTGGTACATGTATTTATCTAAAACTTTGTTTTATAGTAATCGAAGTGCAGGAGATATCCATTAGTTGCCTTTTATTGAACTTAATTCAAACCAAAGATTGCAAAAAACCATATGATGTTTTCAGGAACTGCTGTTATCCAGGATTTTTTTTTACTGTACACAGGTCAGTAAAAATCGTAAAATTCACTTTAAGATTCTAAATAGATTAACTCAGTACTGTAAAAAAAGAATCTTTTTAAATCTAACTGACTACTTTTTTTCAGTGATTTAATCTAAAACAAAACACTGTGTTAAAACAGGTTTGAGGAAATATATCAGTGTCGATGCTTACATGTAATAGAGTACAATTAATACAAAAAAACATCACATAACATTTACTCAAATACAACTTAAACCTAATATTAGATAGAACACGATTATTAACACTTTAGCTTACCCGTTTCCAGTCAATTTTATAAAACAAATCAATTAATTCCTAAAAGTGTACAGTTGCTAGAAAAAATACGTTGGACTTGATTCTAATTTGTTGAAAAATTGAATTCAATCATGAGCATTCTCCTCTATATTTCACATTTTTCACACACGAATTTTGAACACTATGAATACAGATATACAGTTTATGTAATGGAAATGACATGATCGAATGGTATTGTTCACTTTGATTTATATACTAAAATATGATAAACATATACAATACAGTTGAGCAATTATATGAAACCAGGCAGTAATCCGCATAATAAAAGTGGATGAAACGAAAGAAGATTACCATCTTAATCATCAGTAAAAAAATTATAAAATATGACTGAAAAATGCAAAATAGACTGCACTCTACACCTTTAAACTGAAAGATATCAAACGAGACCAAATTTAACACTTTTAGACTGAAAAAACAATGAAACTACATAGGGTTCTAACTTGTGCATAAGAAAGAATGATACCTGATTGACTTCCATATCAGTAAATTTAAATATATGAAACACGCCTCATAGAGAACATGTGAATCCTGACCTTTCCCCACATTACGTCAAGATAAAGTGAAGCACTGAATACTTCCAAATAAACTGGCTGGATGTTACGTAGTCATATTAGCTTTTACATCATTACGACTAGAAATATGAAACCAGACTGACCCCTAAGTCACTAAACTTAAAAATATAACACCAGAATCTATTCTGCATTATCATCATGACAAGTACTAAACCCGTTTTTACTCCTTCTAATTACATGCGGAACCTACCTTGAGTTATTGTCATAATAAAGACGGAAAAATATCAAATCGACTGATTTTTTATTGTTCAGATTAGTCAAAACTAGTCTCACATCGTTTTTCACTACTGATTAAGTCGTAGTACAATATTAACTGACAATACTGTTTCATTTATCATTTATTTAGACGCTAGTGAAGTTTAGCACCGACCCAACATAGGCATCCTCCTTCCAAATACGAAGTATCGTTCTTGATATTTGTCAGTATGCGGTCTGGATTAGCGTTGCGCCGTTTCTAATTTCTAACCACCGACCACAGGTAAGCAATCGGCCCACAGAAAACCACTTATACTTTATTATCATTAACTATTGTGAATCTTTTTTAAATATTTATTCCTATTTTTAACCCAATTTAAACAATGTAAATAAGATGATTTTATTATTATTACTTCTACTATTAACAAGTTTTTAAATTACAGTTTTAATTTCCTTTCTTTGAATATACAAAAATGGTCTAAATATATCATTAGACATGTAGCAAGCATTTAAGGTTGTAAGTTTGTTTGTAATTAAACACAAAGCTACGCAATGGGTTATCTGTGTTCTGCCTACCACGGATATTGAAACCCGATTTCTAGCGTTATAAGTCCGCAGACATGCCGCTGTGCCACTGGAGGGTTAATGTTATAAGAAAACATCTGCAAAGTTTAGCCTATAAAATGTTGTTGAAGAACAGACGAGAAATAAAATAACTAGTTGGTGCTTTCTATAAGAGAAAGTGATATCTCTATATAATTAGTAACAAGCATAAAATTGAACAGTACCGTCAGTGTACACGTTACATTTACAAGATTTATACACATTCAGTATTCAAAATAAGCCATTATGAAGTTCCTTTAAACATCGTGTAACTGCAAAAATTTTCATACAATATAAAATAATCAGAAGAACGTAATGATCTAAAATTGTTTCATAACGAAAATGTCCACGAACTTTTGTGTTTTAGTGTGTACGCTTTATCAATACCTAAAGCATACAAATGGCAGTTAATGTGACGGAAATAAAAGTATACATATGAGAAAAAAAAATACACACACATAAAAAAGTTAAGGAACACTTCTAATTTAATAAAAAGGAAAAAGAGCGTTGTTTGTTCTAGACTCTAGAACGAAGTCCTATTGAGCTATCAGCTATATCCACCGCGAAGAATCAAACTCCGGATTTTAGCGTTGTAAATTCGTAAACTTACCACCCTCCCATCGAGGGACAAAACAAAAGAGTGGAAACGAGAGATTTTGGTTTAATGACGTTCGAAATGATACTGCATATTACTCTGGCGAAATGATCCTTGTAGCAGTATCCCATACATTCATGAAAGTAGGAAATTTTCAATTCGTGTCATTCGACCTTCTGACCGTCTAAGCTACATCTTTGTACAATGGAACCAATTTAATAGTCTTCGCAATAAACATGGGCAGTGAATTACATTCAGAAGACAGTCTAATGTAGAGAGAAGCTGGAAGACTCCAGGCAGAACAAAGGCAGATACAAGTTGTGTCTTGGCTTGGAGTGTCACCTAATGTGTTAAATCGAATATGGAGACGGTTTTTAGACACGGGAACTGTTTATGCTAGTCCTAAAACAGGTCGTTTTCAGTAAAACAGTGACATATGATCGCTACATATCCCTACTGGCCAGAAGAAATAGGGAATAAAAAACACGTTTATTTTCTAAGAGCCATACCTGGCCTCTAATGTGTGGATATCTAGCCAAACTGTTAGGAACCGACATCTCAAGATCGGATTCTATTCTCGAATACCTATAATTTTTGATTCATTAAGCCATTATCATCGCGCAGAGAGGAGAAAATGGTGTCAGGAACACCTTTATTGGGACAATTGTAGAAGACCAATTTTTGATCACCAGATGAATCAAGGTTAAGTTTGGAGAGTGTATCCCGACGTGCTAGGATCTGGAGAAGATGAAATGAACGATTTTTGAATTGCTGCACTTGCAAATGGAAAACCTTTGGAGATGGTGAAATATTAGTCTGGGTTGCCAGCTGTATCGATAGTCTCACAGATCTCTATGTCTTGTAGAGTGGCCCTATGAATGCTCTGAGATATAGGGTCGGCATCTTTGAGCATTATTTACGCCAAAATGCTGTTGCTATTGGCGATTCTATCATCCTTATGAACGCTAATGCAAGACCATATAGAGCTAGGATTGTGGATGAATATTTTCAGTATAATGGAATCGAAATATTAGAATGGCTGGCGTTTCCTCCAGAACTAAACAAATCGAACACGTTTGAGATGCCCTGGAGAGACGTGTAGCTAAACGAAATCACCCACTTCCCAGCTGATAGTAGCTGTGCATGAATAGCGGCCTTTAATTCCACAGGACTTGACCAATTGCCTCATTGTAAGCATGAATAATCCTCGTAGTGCATGCTTACCAGCTCACTGTGGTCACATTCCCTATTAATGGAATTACATATTGCTGTACCACTTCATACCCTCCTAAACATTGTTTATTCTCGTACCATTTTTCCAACTTGATTCAACTTCACATTTTTGTGCATGTGCATTGTTCATAATTCTTGATACATGTAAATTGTATATCTTCGTTTCTAATCTACCAGGTGTTTTAAGACTATGGTGTTCCTTAACTTTATTTGATGTGTGTATATAGGAAGCTTAATCAATTCATAATTTACATTTTTAGTTTTAAGCCTGAAACCTCATTTCTAGTTTGCAGAAGTCAACGAGTTGTATCTCTTTTAAATTCGAAAGATTAAAATTTTCATAAAAAAGCTGAAGCAATTTAAATTTTTCAAAATCTGAATAAATGAAAACAGAGGAAAGACGATTATTTTTTTTTCAAAACGTCTTAATTGAACACTGACAAAATTAGGGGGAGTTCTCTATGATTTATAGCATTTAATTTAATAAGTTATGTTTAATGTAAAAGCTCATGTCACTGTAAGTGATATACAGTTATTTTACCTTTAAACAAGAAATAGGAATAGTATATCTACTAAAGCGAATCTTAACAAAAGCGTTAATAGACATACGGATACTCCAAGACCTTAGGCCTATAGTTGGAAAGATAGTCTGAATACTTTTGTTTCGATTAATACAACAACAACAACAAAAAGAGATGATGTTAATTCTTGTAGTTGCTCAATGAGTATTTCTTAAAAGAAACTCATGAAAAGGAATCTGACCTTGAAATGATTTCATACAATTCTAAATTAAACATGGCGATTTTAATAAATGAAATTGCTTCAAAATTGCACAAAATGCAGAGAAAAATTAAAAAGTTTCACCATTAAGGTTATATAGTTGGCCTAAAGCGTATAAATATCATTGTCACTAAAACTCACTGTGAAAAGTTGCGAAATTACTGATAAAATCATAAGTAACGGTACATAAATTATAATCCCTTCGTTTTTTTGTTTTTGTTTTTTTACAAATATACAGTAACACAGCACTTTATGATGATTAAGCCATATAATTACGAATTCGTGCAATACTTGAATGTAATGGGCTCCACTTGAATCCTGGTAGTAAATAGCGTAACCTGCTGGAAGGTCCTTTCATAATGTTAAAACAGTTACTAACTCTATTTTGTATCCTTCGTTTTTATACCATCGCAGTCAGCCTTTCTCCTGCACAGTAAGTTAAGGTGTGTATTGAGATATCGAGATACGGTTTTTTTCCGATGTATCTGAAATCGGTAGAAAATTATTCTAATTAAATATGAACATTTGTATATTATAAACTTATGAGTTAATGATGCAGTAGAGAAAATTAATATAAAAAATCATTAGAACATTGATTATAACAGCGTAATTAAAAATTATGCCAATTAATAAACACACATAAAAAATAAATATTCTCTCTATTGAAAAAAGTAAACTGAATCAACCACAGATGATAAAAGACAGTATCAGGAAACTAATAGTCCTATATATGAACATTTATAATGTTAGTAAATTAATTTCAAACGAGCTTAATTTCAAAATCCGCAGATTTGATAAACTTTACTAGTTCATTGAGTTGAGAAAAACAAGAAGCAGTCAGAGAAACTCGTACTTTCAGCTATGTATTGTTACGGTTACAGTTTTGAATATGTAGAAGTAGGGATCTAACTAAGCACAAAGCTACACAATGGGCTATCTGTGCTCTTCCCACCGCGGGTATCGAAACCCGGATTCTAGCGTTGTAAGTCCGCTGTGCCACGGGGGGGGGGGCGTGATGCTACGTATCTGATTGTTAGCATTACCTATACGACCACGAAAACATCGCGTTTGTTCGATTACTACTATCGACCAATTCCCTAAACGGGAGCATTCGACGAATACTTGTTTCTAATAAAGGTCAGTTATTATTCAGATTCTCTATTAGAGAAAATATTGGTGGTGATTCCTCTTTTTATAGGAAGTGGTTTTTTTCATACAGTAAAACAGGTTGAAGTCGCTGTCTTCTTTTTATAAAACTCTAATTTTCCTGTTTAGTGTTGAAGAAGCTGATTTTGATTAATGTTTCCTTTAAAATCTATCTTGGGTGCTTTTCTGTAGGTTTTAATGCAATTTCCTGTTTCCGTGTGCAATAAATTATACTCGTAGGCTATAAAAATAGCAAAAGTCAATGTAACAAAGCTTTTCGAATCTCCCACAAAAACACATGATTTTAAGCTAAAAACCCGTGGTAAAAAGATTCTGTTTTAGGTATCCAGATACGGAAAATATTATTTTTTACAAGACGAAGACATCTGATTTCTACTCATCTTTAAAAAATGATGAATATTTTAGTTGCTACGTGTTTTAAAAATCCACGTTGTTCTCTGTTAAACTTTTAATTTTCAGCAGATACATAAGGAAGTACATTATGCTAACATAATTATAAGCTGGCAGACAGAAGACAGACCAATGTTCTGTTGAAACATGTAGTATGTTCCCCCAGAAATAAATCACTTTATTATGTTTATAAATAGTTGTTTGCCAACTTATTATTTCAGCGGAAACACACGATTTTATTTATATAGCATTAACTCAGCAACTACATTCCTTTTTGTGATATTCAAACATAATTGCGCAGTTTCACGTTATGTGCTGAACGTTTGATTATGACGATCTGAAATGCATATTTATTCTATTCTTACAAAAAATATAGTAATCTTGTCCAGAGATAAAAAAGTAAAGTTTTTTCAACCAGGATTTTATCTGTTTTAAGAATTATAACTCAAAATTTCTGTTTAACAATTACCCAAATATTAAGTTACTTGTTACTTACACAAAACTTTATTCTCTTTACTCATGTGTCCTCATGACAGGAAGTGTATGTTGAATTTGGACATTTTGAGCACTTCATCACTTAATATAGCAGCAATGTTTTATCAAGACAGCTTTTAGTATGCTTAAAGTTAATCCCTTGCAATAACAGTAATCCTTGTTTTTAAAAGATACATCACTTTACCATGTATTTCAGGTTAATACTTTCTAGACTGTATCTAAACTATGTTTGTTTGGCGTTGACAATCTTCGAATTTGATGACCTACCTAAACAAGACTGGCCGATTTTGGTCTCCAAAATAACCCCTGTTCGACAGGAATCAACCATCATCTGGCACCAACTGACATATGTCTGATTATTAGTAGCACAAACAGGACTTAACTTCATTCGTGGACAGATCGGTGGACAAAGAACACATGCGGGAAGGTCAGTTTTTAAGTCAATTAAACACGTTTTTCCCTGGCGACATCGAATTGAGTCACAAGTGGCATTTGCTGTAATAGAAAGCATGAATATATATGTATTACCGTAATATAAAGAGTCAAGCTTTTAAAACGTGTAACCACAATCTTAACAAATCTTAAAAACAGCAACAAGAATTGTATATTGAACACAGTCGCTGGATGGCGATTTAAACTACTTCTTCTCTAAATAGAAAACACCATGCTGGTCACTTGTTTTCTCAAAACTTTATAGAAAACTTTCGAATAAAAATAATAAACTATTCATCAGTTTAAATAACAGCGTATATACTATTGGACATTTTATCAAAAACAAAAGCCCGTTGACTGAGCAGTACTTTTAAGGAAAAAGCTTTTAACATTGATATAAGTATTATGTATTTAGAAGATTTATCCCCACCATTACTACAAAAATAGGAGTGTGCTAAAATATAGCTAATGATTATATTTTACATTATTACTGTTATATACATCCGGGACTTTATTGAAGTAGCAAAGAGGACCAAGTGCGTGTTACAAATTTCTTGAAAAAGGGGTGCTTGTTATGGATCAGACTCGGGTGTAAGATATCGTAGAAATCTCTAAGAAAGGAGTGGTAAATCATCACCTTTAATTGAAAACTTTCACCACTGAAAAATTCATAATGCATATAAAATATTATCTAAAATTAAGAAGAGTTTCATTGTATGGTAGGTTTTTGTAAAGCGCAATCATATTGAAGTTAGTGTTATTTCAAAATTCTCTTTTGTTCTTTGATTAGATATATCATAAATATTAAATAATTTCAATGTTAGAAATACTGTTTGTAAATGATAATAAATGTATTAAACCAATGCATGTAAATATGAACTAAACGTCCTGCTATCCACAAAGTATAAATATATATATACTTAATTCTTTACACAGGGGCATATAAAACCCTACAAGTATTCAGATATGGAGTACACAAAAGTCAAGAAATCTTGAGAAAGGGACATTAGAAAATAAGTAACTCCCTACATATGGGGTCATTTTTAAAAACGTGGAACAAGCATATGGAGGGAATTGCCCGAGTATATATATATTTAGATATAGATGGGTACTCATTGTCATACGTTGTTTATGAGCTTGCGAAATTCTGAATATATTCAATAAATTCAAGCAACGTGGCAGAAAAACTGCAATGACAAAACCTGCCAGTTTGAAGTTGATAAATTTCAGTTATCAAATTTTTGATAATCTGGCAGTTATGGCGTTCGATTTGTGGGTTCAAAGCTCGTAACTGAACATGCTCACTCTTTCAGCCATGGATGCGTTATAATGGACGGTTAATCCTATTTTTCGTTGGTAAAGAGTAGATCAAGCGTTGGCGGTGCGTGGTGTTTACTAGTTGTTTCCCTTTAGTTTATCACTTCTAAATTAGGGGCAGCTAGCGCAGATAGCTCTCGAGTTGCTTTACGCAAAATTTCACAAACTTTTGGCTCACCTCGTATGTTTATAATTATTGTACTATTGTACGTTGATTTTCAAACTCAGTCCTAGCCAGACAGTACAAATGACTAATCAGTTTGAACATTACGACACTTACGTTGCCATTATAACTATATTTTGAATTAATTAAACTGGAACACTATTTTAGATTTCATAGGGAGTAATTTTTATTGGAGGTACAGGGTAGTTAGGCCCATTGACGGCCTGTTTTCTTGTTTGTTTGTTTGTTTATTAGACTAGAATGAAAAGATCGGTCAATTTTGGGAGGAATTGTTCTGATCATTTCTTATATTATTTCATAACCATTCAAAAGGTGCAAACTATACATAATATACATATATTTATCTTCCCAAAATAAACAAATATTAAGTACAGGGAAAGGGGTTACTAATCCTGCCCTCCCTAAATTGACACCCCTGTTAACAAAGTCAACGCCCTTGAGATTACAGGATGTACAAATCCTTCCAGCTTTCAACACTTTTGCTGTTCAGTTTAAGCATACAGTGTCATTAAATGATTTAATTTAGTAAAACTAAATCGGCGGTAGACCTTGATATGAAAATGTAACAACATTTAGAAGCACAAGCTAAACTAAATCATTACCAAGCATATGACCTTTCTGCTTGATGTGCTACTTCAGACGTGATATGACAATATTGGCTCTTTATATAATAGATTTAAATTTAATGTTTACCATTTAAACTTATTAGCTATAGTTAATAATTCGAACTCAAGCGAACACTGATATCCTTCTGAAATATGCCTATTAGCAAATATGATTGATATTTAGTTATTTTAATGAATTTACTGTGTCATTATCCTTACGTTGACAGTCTATAGTATACTTTGTGCAAAGAGTCAGCAGTGCTAAAAAGGGTAAACAATTTTTCTATGTTTACCTGTTACTAAAGCCGAAAACAAGGAACTCAAAATAGCTCTCTCATCTTGGCTGAGACTCTTGACATTTAAAATATGAAAGGACTGTAAGGCTAAATTCCAAAGAGTATATATGGAATGCAACACACTCTTTTTGGTTACAATTATTCATTACAAAAGAAACGCTGCTATCTGGTTGGCGCCAAACTCACACTGCCATTCGGAATGTCGCTTTTAATATATCGGTGCTGTGTACACAATTTCGATCAAGCATGTATGCACTAAAAACGTCTTGACACTCGTTACTGTATCTTAAGAAGAAGAAATATTGAACTTGTTTTCTTCATTGATTTGTGATTATAGGTATAGATGAAAAGAAATCGTTTCCAAATTTCTATTCACAAACAATAATTATTCAATAGATACGTTTATTTAATTCATAATAAAAGCGCATAATCAGTCCTAGCAGTAAATATCTACCTTACTTCTCCAGCAAAATAATCATCAAAATCTATATTTCCATAGCGTTAAAATCAGTATTCTTCATTCTACGTAAATGTTACATTTATTGTAAGGACTTAGTTCAGTTAAATTGTATATTGAGCCTCTTTTAGTTCTAAAACGACACTTTCGTTTTAAACTTTACAGAAAGTATATATATATATGGTTTGTTTCATAAAATAATATTTTGGAAAAGATCAACATTGAATTAGTAAATATCATTATTTCGTAACAAAAAGTCACAGAAAAAGTTATAGGTAAATGCAGAGATAATATGTATAGTTTAATTTTTAGTATCAAATTATAAAAGAAAATGAGATCGCGTACAATAATTAAAGATAAGATTTTTTTTTATGAAGAGCTCAACCAATAACAAGGAAATATGTTATACAAAAATGAAAAAATAATCCTAATCAGTGCTTATTTCTAGAAAAAAGCTTCAGATTCATGTTAAAGAGTGATTAGGGAATTATACTTTTGAGAGATAACAAAATAAACGTTATCGATGTTATTATTTTTGATGGGAGTGGAGTGGAGTAATGTCGTTGACTATGTCAATCAAATATCAATTCGCAAAGCAACCGAAGCAGTCTTAAAATGAATTATAATGTTTCCGACTTTAGAATAAAAAATCCAAAATAGGTTCCCCATCCGGCAAAAACTAAGCATTGCATCCTTTTATACTTTAGTAAACAATTCTGAAGTTCATTGCATTCCTGTTTCTTACTATTCTAGTCTGAATTCAATGACAAAACTAGTAAAGAACCGAATAACTGACACACTAATAAATCGTAGAAATGAGAGAAGAAATGCTAGTAACTTAGCATTTCGTTTGTTTTAGCACTAATATTTTTTGAAATTTAAAAGAAGAAAAATGAACTTGTCATTATTGTCGTAAATCGGTTTCATTTTTATCATGAACCACTATCGTGGTTCATAATAGGGATCGCAAGAAATTGCACAAAATTCCAATAGAAAAAAAGTACCTTAAACAGTAAAGATTGAGTTCAGACAACACTTTAAAACCTTTACTATTGACTGTTAAGGTTGTACACATATAAAAATGCACAAAAAAGCACGCATGCTAGAATTATAAGGAAAAGAAAATCAACTCAAAACGGCTTGGTAAATTGCATCCAAACCTTTTGTAGAATACTAAATAAGGTAGTACAAAGGTCGTGGTGGTATTGAAAAGTCGATTTGTTTCTTCTTTACTTTATATAAACTAAAGAACATCATAATTCTAGTGTAAACGATGTTATCATTACCCCTTGAAGTTAGTTTTTTACAAATATCTGGTGTTCCTTTAAAAAGCTTAAGTACAAGGTGAAACAGGAATTACCATCCACTAATAGATGAACATTAGATGACTGTTGGCTGTAGATACTCAGTACTTTGTACACTATACAATCGATGTCTTTGAGTAAATAATGTCTACAGTATCTCCATCCTTGTTTCCTTACTTATTTATCTTGTTGAATATAAAATACATGAGATCTATTTTCAGTTTTCTGTATTTCAGCAAAATGTTCCACACTGAGTGGTCACAAATAAATAGACACCTAATTTTTCGTCATTTAACTGATTTATGCTAACTAATTTGTGTTCACATAGCACTATATAAATGAAAATGGTCCGCACACTAATTATCTTGGGCTACAACATGCCTAGAACTCAAGGTTCTCTCGAATTGTCAGATTTTGTTAGAGAAAGGATAGTTGGTCAAGCAGATAGTGGAATAAGTCAGCGGCAAATTTCGCAGAATTTGAGAATCCCGGATTCGACAGTCAACAGTATCATCGTGCAGTCCAGGAAACACGGCAAGGAAACAAATGAGCAGCGTCTGGCTCGTCCTGGTCCATCGGAGAGGACAAAAAGGCTTGTCAAGAGGAGCATCGAAATGGATCCCAGATTAACGACTGCAGAAGTGGCCAAAGTTGGTGGGATGAG